GTGTATACCTTGTTACAGGATATTTTGTCAGGAAAAATAAAGTGTGACTGCCATGCTTGACTGTAAGTTCTGAGCATTTGGTTGCATGTTACCAAACGCCTCTTGAGAACCAAGCTGCTGCTGCTGCTGTATGGGCATTACACCACCGGGATTGGATACTCCCGTATTATAGACTGCAAGCAAAGGCCACAACTGAACTTCAGCCTCGTATGTTAAGATTCTAGTAAACATACGACGAGCGCACTTGCTTTTTTGTTGCGTCAAAATGAACACCGTCGGTCACCGCCCTGCATGGATCCTATAAGAAAAGCAGAAGACAACCTCCCATTCTGGCAAGGGAGAAAAACAGGACATATCAGGAGGAGATGTCAGGCGAAAGAAAAGAAGGGGCAGGAAATAACTGCAAATTCATCCACCAAGTATGACTGAAAGGCGAAAAAAATAGAAGAGCAGGTTCATACTCTGATCATTCAGAACCGGAGAAGCAGATTCCTCTGAGGAAGCATGCTATCAGCAAATCCAATCTGTATAGTAGATTTAACATGGGGAAGATAAATTGGAACAACATTAAACTTTCTATTTTAGTACAGAAAAGAATCAGAAATTAACGAGAGATTTTGGGTAAATTCTAGATCTCTGCATTGCAGATGAATCCAATATGCACTAATGAAATCAACAAGCCCTATCTTCCCTAAACACAGAATATAAATTTGCCAAGCACACAGGAGGCATACTTGCATTCGTGGCACAAGCGGCTGTGATGATATTGTGGAGGACATTTTCGGAATCTGAGGCAAACAAAACAGTACAAGGTTAAGACGGATCAAAAAAGGAAACAATCATACAAAAAAAAAGAGAGTTAAAGTAAATAGAGAGAAAAGGAACATGGTACAAAAATCTGCACCGTGCAAATAAACATCCATTATGAATTTATGTGCACAAGTAACATGCATGCAGCTTAAAAGAGATAAAACAGTTTAAAAGAGAAAGAAAGTTAGGATCCGATCTATGACCAGTAAATAAATAAGGTTTTTTTTAAAAGTTTCATATTTATATGAATCTAAATTTACATACAAATTTATTTTTTAAATAACTCAATCAGAAATCAACGCAGAGTAAGAACAAAACTAACTTTATAATATAATTTGATTGTTTTAATATAAGAGTTAATACAAATTCATAGTTGTGGGGCACTAACTAGATATAAAAAAAATACAAATTTCAACAAAAAAACAGGTCCTGAAGGTCTAATAAAATAACCCGCTAACAAGTTATAAGTCTGAAAAGATAAATAATAAGAGGGTAAGTTCAACAACTCAGTGAGTAGATAACGTTCAATATACACACACGAGGTAATACTAGATAACGTTCAATATACACACACGAGATAATATAACAATAATGAATATATACACAATTATGGCTCTAGGTTCTTATAGTAAGGTTTTTCAAATAGGCCATGACAAGAATATCATAAGATAAAGCTCATCAAAAAATCAAAATGCAATGAGCACAAGGCTCTGTATTGTGGGATAATCATTTCACATAAGTTGGTGACTCTCCTGACCAACTAGGGTTCAGATACGATGTGCACAAAGACTAATATTACCTTGTTAGCATGAATATTTTGACTAGCATATCATAGGTTCATAATCATAATCAAACATACATATTCATATCTCAAAACTCAACTCATGACATCAATCAAATGAGAAGTTATCAATTTAGAACTCAATTAAAAATATATATTGATTCATATTAAGAATTCAGATTCAACAATTAATCATATTTTATCGTAACAAAAGGATAATAATCAACATATATATTATCAAGAAGCATGATCCAATTCATATTAACAACTCAAATATTTATAATCTTTCTTATGCATATAAAAAATTATCCACTCACCTGAATCGAAAGCAAACAGAACTCAAAAGTAGATATTGAAGAAAATTCTACTAGTGTCCCGCCGATAGAATATCAGGATTATCTGAATAAAAATGAGATATATTAAAAAACAACTAAAAAAAACAATCTATTTAATACACTTAACTAAGGGTCTATTCCATAACGCTATAAGTTTTTGAATTAAACTAGTTATTGTTTTCCAAAGACCTAAAATTAAATGGTTTTTTCGGAATCTAATACATAATAAAACAAATAATAAGACTTGATTATAATTTACTAAATAACCCTTATTTATTCATCAAGCCAATCTGCAAAAGCTAATATTACAGCAAGGGACCAATCTAAAATTTATCATATTTTTAAGGGTCAAATTGTAATTTTTGTCAAATGGGAGGACCAAATTAAAAGTGTTAAAAATTCATAACTATACTAGAATCCTACCCTAATTCATCTTTTATTCTGTCCAGAATTTTGGAATATGCTCCAGGGACCAATCTGAAATTATTCCAAAGTTCGGGGACTAAACTGTAATTTTTACAAATTAAGGGACCACACTGAAATTTTATCATCTTCAACCTCAAATTCAGAATTTTCATGGATTATCTACTGTTATCTCATGATTTCTAATATAAATTCACCATTCAAACAAAATAATAACTCAAAATCATCATATTTACCTACAATCTCTCGAAATCAAGTAAGTAGCTCATTACCCATAATAATCAATCCAAAACACAATTTTCAAAACCCTAACATTCAGCATCACAGAAATTTAAAGCTTAAAGAACACACATTATATATAATCTTGCTTTTAAACTTATTTTCTTTGACTCTCTTCTTCTTCTCTTATCTTTCCTTCTTTTTTTTTTTCTTTTTCTTTTCTTCTCTTTTCTCGTCACTTTTTTTAACTCTTAGAAGACAACTCATTTTTTTTTCTATTTATATTTATCAACTCTTTGTTCAATTACTACAATACTTCTTATTTATTTATATGTTTTATTGCCTTTTTTTATTCATGTTATTTCAAAACATCACAAAGAAAAGGTAGTAACATCTATAAATATTCAAGCAAGACAGATTTGAAGGTGGCCTCAAGTTTTTTTCGAAAAAAGAAAAGAAATTGAGGTCTAACAGCATGCTCTCTGACAATAAATTATCCTCCCAAACTTCGATAAAACCCTCTTGCTCGTACTCAAAGAAGTGATGTGAAAATATAGGAGAAAGCTTAAAGATGAAATTTCATGGGTCTATATCCCTCTAGCAGCATATTAGAATTCCTGGTCACGAGACAGAACTGCACAAGTGATGCCCATGAGCACACGATAAATGAATTAGATTTAAGAATATAATACGCATGAATTCAGAGTGAGACACACAAAGCCGAACTTAAGATATTGGTAGAGTAAGAGGCCTTTTGCCCTGAAATAATGCACTGTGTATTCCGAGTGGGCAGGGGGGTGTTTGTCGCTTAACCTTTTCCTCTGATCAAATAAACTTTCTTGTTAAGTTACCCCATGCTTAGTAGGTAAAATGCAAACAAAATGCTAAAAATAAAAGTTCAAGACAAAAAGCATGAAAGACACAGAAATGCATGGACGTAGGTTGCGAGGAGAAAGACCAAAATGAAGAAAAACAAATAGGGGGCCAAATTACTAATGATAACAAGAAGCTAATACTAGATTACCGGCCGAAACTTCTGCTGAGCCTGGCGCTGTAAATCATGCATTTGTGACTGTTGATTCTGCACGAGAAGTTCAAAATATTAAGATTAAGCAGTAAGACTCATCGATATGTAGATATAATTATCGAAAAAAACCTGTGCATCTAAGACAACTAGTGATGATGATGATGCAATTGTCATGTAGATATAATTATCGAAAAAAACCTGTGCATCTAAGACAACTAGTGATGATGATGATGCAATTGTCATGTAGATATAATTATCGAAAAAAACCTGTGCATCTAAAACCTGGCCCTGTAAATCATGCATTTGTCACCAACGTGCACAGCAGCTCGGAACAAGGTCTCTTGCTCTTGAATCTTAGCAGCCTGAGCCTTGTCCAAAGTGGGAAGAGTCGTTGGCCCTTGACGGGTACCCAACTGTTAGGCTTCACGAGTATCAATTCTAGCCTGCAAAACTAGATAGATAAAAGTCCCTGAATACAAAGAAGCGATGATGATATACTCGATGCAAAATGAACTCTAATCCATCTTTAACCTCTCAATTTGAGAGAATATCGGCAAGTTCTGCATCCCCTGCAGCAACTGCTCGCTCTTGGAATTATAATCCACTTCCATCTCTGGCAGTAGTTTCGAGGATAACATAACTGGTAGCACTGTACCACGGGATCCAAAATAATGTTTTCCATGTTAAAATTATGCAATATATGCCAAATTTTGATCCTTTTGAACAAAGCTGTCTAGAAGTTTAGCAGGCAATGGAGAATAGAAGAGATGCGGCGGTAGTGAGTGACGGTTCCTCCTGCATACCATGTCCTCGTACACATGAAATTGACCACATATTTGTCATCAGAGAGTCTAGGAGTGGAAAGCTAGTCCCCCGACTTGGAGTGCCTTTTCTGATCACAATTACCCTGGTGCACTCCCAGGAGAGCAGCATCCATTATACCATGAGGTTGGATGCGAGAACTTCTAATTACTATAATTTCTTAAATTTCTTTACTCGTCCAAATTATTAACATGTATGTTCGAAGCAAGTAAATACATGCATATCTCAATGAAAAAAGACGAAAAGAAAACAAAAATTTCACAGGCATGAAAGCATTTTAGCCGAATGTTATGGAGTTCCGTTTGAGGTTTTCCTGCTGCTACAGATTCAATCATTACCCCCACAAATGTACCTGGTTGCAAAAGCATATTGTTGTGTTTAAGTTTTGTAAGATTGCGGTTTGCAAGGAAACAATGCATGGTATATTCCATAGACGTGTTTTGCATCTGCAAGAAGAGAGTCGATCAGTTTCCGGTTTCAAAAGTAATCTTTATTCCAGCTAAGGATAACAATTCTCAAACAGCTTCTAAGAGTTTCAAATAACTACTCCCTCTTGATTTCCTTACAAAGAGAGGAACAAATGTTTTGTTCATTCCCTACATCCTGCACATCGTTTAGTGGATTTTGTTGCCAGGAAAGATATCGTCACCATCATGACAGAAGTTGTCAGCAATATTTCTCCCCCTCCTGGTATTCCCCCCTTTCCTTCCTTTTTTTCTCTCATCGACTAACATCGTGTTCTGTGACCTAACTTTTTCTGTGCTGATGCCGAGATTACTGTCTGTGAGCTTGCCCTTTCTTCCGTACCAAGCTCTCCCTCTAACACTCGGCGTGCTTGTATAATGAGCAGATTTTCTCCAGTAACAAAACCAAAGAGTGATCAAACTTGTATGTGCTGATATCATTTCGTTTTGCAGGTTCTGTAGCAACCGTATCAGATGCACCGCCCATCCACTACATGGTTAAAATAGAGTTATTTTCGTCACTTTGGAAAAATGCAGTGGAGACATATGAATCAGGGGTTTTTGAAGCTGGAGGCTATAAATGGTACATCTTATTGCTAGTGAATATTTGTCTTTCTTTGTCTTTCCATCTCCAACGGCAGTCATGTTTTATTATGAGAGACCCCTCTCATTTTTATTACCTCCTCCTGTGTTTGCTTTGCAAGGAAATTAGTTCTTTATCCGAACGGAAACAAGAGCAATAATGTAAAAGATTACATCTCTCTCTATTTGTTGAAATTTATTGCCTTAAATTGCTGACGTGTTGCTTGAAGACCAGTTCAGCTTACGTGTTGTTTTTATTTCTGCTATAATAAAGGATTGAACAAGTCCTTAGGTGAATTGTTAGTAGTGGCGAAATGTAAGCCAAACGTGGCAGTAGTGTTACTTAATTTTAGTTTTTCTGTTTATTTTCCTTTTATAAATTAGTGTAATTGATTGCTGTAAAAATAAGCAATTATCCTTATCATTATCCAGTTTTCATGCAATAAACATCCCCTGTTCAAATTCAAATTTCTGGTGTTGATCTATAGTAACAAATAGTCATTGTAGAGATCAAAGTCTTTTATTTTTCTGCTTCTCGGTTCTTCACTTATTCTGCAAAAGTATTTTCAATTGGTATCAGAGCTTATTTCTTGAAGGGTCTGTAATGGATTCCGAAACTAACTTCTCTTATATCTCAACTCCAATCTTCAATGGAGAAAATTACCAACTTTGGGCAGTACAAATGGAAACATATTTAGAAGCTATGGATTTATGGGAAGCTATTGG